CTCATTTTCCTATCCAACTTTTACACATAGTGATTTCCCCTAATAAATAGTCACCTTTTCGCTGATCAATTCCTAGAGTACAGGACTGAGGTAATTGAAATGTCCGGTACCACATTGCTTTGCCAACCACACAGTGAGGCTTGAGATACAGAGCCAAACCCTGCATTTTTCTTATTCTTCTTCTTGTTTTTCTTTATTTTCTTTTTTGTATTTTTGAGACAGGGTCTAGCTATGCAGTTCAGGCTGGTCTGGAGCTCACTTTGTAGCCCAGGCTAGTCTCAAACTTGCAGTGATCCTCTTGCTTCAGCCTCCCAAGTGCTGGGAAGACAGGCACGTGCTACCACTCCCGGCTCAACCCTTCACTTTTCTTATGACTGAGAGCTGCAGAGCCCGGTACGGTCCACCCCCTCATGAGTCCACTCTGGTTGGGTTTCTGCCCTCTTTCTCCATGTGAGCTCTAGGGTAGTCTCCAGGCTCTGGTCTGCTCTGCTTCTCAGGATTTCTTTCCTGGTCAAGCTTTTCTACCATCTTTGTTTCTTAAACATATTCCACCTGTTGCTCCCAGTGATCCCTGTCTGCTCCTGTGCCTCGCTGCGCAGTCGTGGCAGCCTTAGCCGTCGTCAGTATCAGCTGTGCACACTGGGCTGAGGGGCCATGGGAGGAACTGCAGTATCTCCCAAACTGAAGTCTGGAGCTCCAGAAAGAGTCTATAAGAAGTACAAAGGTAAACTGAGCATTGAAAATTTCTATCATTTTTAATCTAAGATCCCTGATCTTAGCTTCTCCAACTGCTGAAATCCGTCAGGTGTTCCAAACAGTGGGATGATGCAATCTATGCCTCGCTGCAATAATCAGTGGCATTTTTACAAGCCCTGGGTGGTGCACTACGTCCCAGACAGACAGCTACACAGGAGGATGGAAAGGACTCCTGGGTAACGGCTGTTTTGTCACTACTCCCTTCTTTTCCTGAAACTTCTCATGTTCTGGATGCAGTGTGGAACATCTTTAAGAAAACTGGCAGGGGTATATCAAAAATCAACAAAGATTCTAAGGATATGTCACAAATAATAGTTCATAATTCCAAAAATTTTGAAAGGGTCATGGTCAGTATAAAATTCATCTATTCATTTATGCATTTGACAACTCAAACAAAAGCATTTCAAATGTGTTTCTAACAGTTCTTGAGGGTACAGTGTCATTGTCCACTGCTGAAACACCCCAAACTGACTGCAGTACCCCTGAGAGGGCATATTTAATGAGCAGCTTTACCTGTTTTCCACTTTATCCTCTCCAGAGGAGGCATGCTGGTTTTTTTCTACCATTACCCAGTCCTCCCAAGCCATGACACCCACACATTCCCCTGAGAGCACTGTCAGCAAGTCACTGCTCTTGAGCCCAGATCAGAGACACACAGCGGTGGATCACTCATAGCACCTGTTCTCATCCAAGCAGGGACTGAACCACAGCCACAGCCGACTAGGGGAACCTGACTGCCAGAAGTTTCTAGGTAGAAGTTTCTAAGTATCAGCAAGAGAAAGAAACTTAGTTGGGCGTCATCTGGACAATCACAAAAGTGCACTTTTCTCAACAGTGGGGGATTCACAGTGCTTTATCTGGGAGAGCCAGTGCGTACTCAGTGATGTCTTCATGTTTATAATTTGTCCTTGGTTTTTTTGAATTTACCTGGACTCAAAGCTCATCCAGTAACACCCCTTACACACACACACGCACACACGCACACGCACACGTCTGTACGGCCCTACAGCTCCACCGTGATGGTGCAGGCACGTGCTGCAGAGAAGAGCCACTGGCAGCCCTCTCATCTACTTTTAGTGTGAAAGTTATTACATCAGAAACAGTGGAACATTGTAATTAAGAAAGAAGAGCTTGGTTTAGAACGTTCTTGAGTCTTGTTAGTTATAGGAGGTCAAAATTCCATATGCCAGATGCATGTGGCTCCCCACACCAGCCCAGTGAGGTGGCAAGCTGAAACCTGCAGCACACTCTTAAGAACTAGTACGTGATGTCTGCGGATCAGGATCTATGAAGCTGCAGACCTAATGACCACAACTGGCCAAGCAGGGTGGAACGAAGAAAATCGGAGGAGAGGACCACAGCAGGCTGACTCCATGAGCAGCAATTACGCTCAGAATTAGACTCCAAGTTTAATTGGAGTCTAATTTAATTTAATAAAAAGACCTCCTCTTTTGTATTTTAAGCATCTGTTTCTATTTTAAAATGTAAATGAAGAAGGCTCTAAGAAGACAGGTAAAATGATACAACTAAAGACGTATGCAAATATTCTCGCACCGCCACTGTGGGGACAGCTGGTACCGTACATACGGCAGCTTTAGAGATGCTCAGACCTGAATCCAAGTCCCACTCTGCTGTTCCTTAGCTGTGAAGCCTGGAGCAGCCTTGGGAGGCCGCTCAGTCTCATTTTTCCCACTGTCACTTACACATGAAAGATAACACAGAGTACTTTTAAGATTGAAGTGAATAAAATATACTTTATGCTTGGGAGGAATGTAGTAAGTGCTGAAGGGGAAGGAAGGATGCTGTCATTGAGGACAAAATCAACCAAGGTTAAGTGCCGGAGATTTGGAGACATCCGTGTTGGTTTTATCTATTTGAAATAGATAAGCCTTTTCTTTTCCTTTCCAAACCATTTTCAAATATAAGCACACAGCCTCTGAATTTATGCTCATTATACATCACCTCCGTGGAACTCAGAACAGCATTCTCACAGATCTACTTGTTTGCTAACTCTCCCCACCACCCCACGCTGCCCTTTGGCATTTATTGTTGGTCCTTTTATTGACAGCGCTAGCGAGCTGAGAAAAGGCTTGCTTCATTGTTTTGCCTTTTTCCCTCAGTACTGGGGATCAAGCCTAGGAACACTACCATTGTGCGGTACCCCCAGCCTTTTAAAAAAAAATTGTGGAAAGGTTTTGATACATGGCCCAGCCCAGCCTTGAACTTGGGATCCTCTTGCCTTAGTCCCCTGTGTAGCTGGGATTACAGACCTGTGCCACCATACCCAGATACCTTTTTGCCTTTTAACTAGGCCAAAAGGCAAGCCCCAGAGCCACACAAATATTCTGGAAGAGGATTCCACTAAGTGTCCTGATACTCCGTCCTCCTCACTTTGGCCATAAGTAATAGTATTTCCCAGCCTCATTCCCAGAACTCATTTCCTAGTGTTCCAAAAAAGAACCCCTGCAAAAACAATCCCTGGGCCCAAATATCCTTTGGATTCAGTGTGATAACCACACATCTCAAGAGACTAAGAAGCAATTGTGAGGAGGAAAAAAAAGAATTTTCCTAAGAATGTGACTAATACTGTATCCCCAAGTCAGCAATAAGATGCCCTTGTGTCAGACACGTAGGACTGAGACAGGTTCAATGGTAGGTGATGCTTCCCTTTTGTAAAAGACATACATTGCTTCAGCTGTTTTGTTTTAAAGGAGGGAGTTGTATGTTCTACTTAGAAAAGACCAGGATGCTCTATGTGTCATGGGAGATAATCTGCAGGATCTTCTGTTCTCTTCTCTTCTCTTTTTTCTCTTCTCCTCTCCTCTCCTCTCCTCTCTTCTCCTCTCTTGTCTCTTCTCCTCTCCTTTTTCCTCCTCTTTTCTTTCTTCTCCCTCTCTCTCTCCTCTCTTCCCTTCTCCCCTCCTCTCCTCTCCTCTCCTGCTTCCCTAGCCTATCTGAGGAACGTTCCCTTATTTCCATCTAAACTCCAAAAAGTGCTCTAGAATTTGGTATTCATCAAGTTTTCTTGGTCCTGTTTCTTCAGGATTCCTATTTCCCTGCATTCTAGATGTGTGATTCACTTGTTGAGATCATAGGGGAGAAACAGAACTGTCATTAAACTGATTTAAAGGCTACATCTATCCATTTGCCTGAGCAGTTTGAACATTGGAAAGGCCCAAAAATACTTTTAAAAAGACCTAGGCCATGTGACTCAGCTAAGCTCTGATCCTTCTCTAATTATTATAGTGTAGCTAGAGTAATAAGGGATATTCACAGTAGTTCTTGCAACCTCCATTAATGTAATAAATGTTACAAACCTTGTATAACAGTCTAAATGTTGTAGACATGTCATTTGTTCTTCTTGAAAGGAATTATGTTTGGTACTTTCATTTTCTTTCAGCTTGAGTATGTTCTCTCAACTTTGTTCTTTTAAGAACTATGAAAGAATCATTGTTTCATAATCCCCTTTTACAAAAGAAGTTAGGACCTGGGATGTAGCTCAGTGGCACAACAACCGCCTGGCAAGTGCAAGGTCCTGAGTTTGATTCCCATTATAAAAAAAAAGAAAAAGAAAAAGAAAGAAATTATAATTTCTGTAGGCACCAGGTTTGTTTGAAGTTAATTGCTTTTATCAGTTGCTGGTTTTGAACGTTTGGTCCTTGGACGACATTTGAATCGCCTGGACATCTGAGCAGGCACCTGGGAATACTGCCTGTAACAAACTTCCAACTGGTCATTTGCCTGTTAGAATATGTGAATCAATAAACTGTCGAGAAGCTCCGTGTATATGTCTAAATGGGAACCGCTACTTAATTTTTAAACTTGCTTGTTTCTTAACCACAAACAGGATCTCTCATTGTAGGGAGTGTGTGACATTGACAGTTTCCTTAGAACAGATTGTCTAGCTGTGAAACTACACTTCACTAGTCCACAAAATTTTCTCTGCTGTGCTGGAGAGGCTGGAAATAGAGGAGGAAACACTGACTTGGGGCAGGGTCGTGCTGAGTCACACGCTGAAACATCACAACCCTTTGTTCTGGGCAAGAGATCTGAGAAAGGACAGCGCCGAGGCAGCGGGGACCCTCCCCTGGTTACAGGTCGGCCAGCGATTCCACCAGGCCGCTCTGCCCTGCTGTGGGCGCTGCGCAGCCTGGGCCTTCCAGGGGTCCCCACATGTGCAGTGTGCAGGGCCCGGGCAACGCCACCCCCAGCCCAGCTCCTCAGCTCTCCTTTGTCACCTACAGATCCGGAACTCGGGGCCCGCAGACAGCACGGTGCAGTTCATCTTCTATCAGCCCATCATCCACCGCTGGAGGGAGACGGATTTCTTTCCGTGCTCGGCAAGCTGTGGAGGAGGTAAGGCTGTCCCCTGACCTCGGGCACCCTGGGCTTCTGCAGGGAGAGGTGTGGCTGTCGTGCGAAGGCAATGACATCAGCATGGGAGAAATGCGGCGCGGTGGGGTCCAACTGCGACTTCAAGGTGGAGCCAAACCCTGAAGCCCTCAGGGAAGACGCTTGAAAGTCCTCATAAGCATGTTCCATGGTAGAGTCCCCGTTACAGGAAATACTCTCTCCTACTTTCCTTGAGTTTATGAGGGCCCTAGTAATCTGGCAGCAGCACCATCCTGAAGCACTTCCATTGCTTCCCGCACAAACTGCTCATCGGGTCGAGGGGAAGCATTTTATTCTGGAATCAAGTGAAGAGTGTTGGTCAGGCTTACATGGTGCGATGAAAGAATACGTCGAATGTTTAACTTTTTAAAAATGGTTCCAGTAAAAGCGCACGGCCGTGAATCCCCTTCAGAACATTCCTGCTGGCTTCGAGCACTCTTATGCCACCAGCAACTGTGGAAGTGCTCTTCTGCGTCTTTGGCTGCACTGTGCCGCTGCCTCAGAGTCCCGAATCTGTGTAAACCGTTTGCCTTTCACGGTCATTCTGGCTTTGGGGAAAAGTGAGAATCTGCGTGCTGCCATGCCTGGTAAACAAGATCTGAGAGGACACACCATAATGCTCTCACAAGCCTGCTTTTCCAGGGGAGAGCACGCAGCAGCAACATTCACTGTATTTTTGATACCTCACAAGGGTACTATCAAAAGAGGACTTCCAGAGCTGCTGCAGAAAGTGGCAAGGTTGACAGGATAAGAGTGCCAGAAGCAAGGGGGAGTCTTTGGAGGAGGACTGATGAGAGTATATATTTTACTATAATTTTTTTACTTTAAGTATTCACCATATGTTTCAATCACACCTCATATTTAATTTGAAAAAATAGTTTACTACCAGAAAAAATCAGTACCTTATAGACTTACAGTCAGATCATTTTGAGCTCCACCTCATCGGGTATACATTAAAAAGAGTGACATTTTCTTTATATATTTGCTAAAACACGTCTCTCTGAAAAAGTCACAAGATGCATTTCTGACTCCACCTTACCACATCTGTATCCTAAACAGCATTCTGTGTTACCAGAGAAGTTTTTGTTTTGGGTTTTGGTTTTTTCCTCATACTTTTTGTTCTTCATAATTATAGTGATTATATATATAATAATTGCTGTGGATTGTTTTATAATAATGTATTTTGCCATTTCCTTATAACAGATCATTTAGGTCATTTAAACCCTTCTACTATTATAATGTAATGAATAATTTAATAGCTAAGTATTTTTCTCCTTTCACATGATTTCTTGGAGATAAATACTCAGCAGTGAGGTTCCTAGATAAATAAGTTTCAGAACTCTTTCGTGGTTACTGGCATATACGACCAAATTCTTCTAGAAAATAACAAGAAATGTTCGAGTATTTTAGATTTTTTTCCAACTTTTAGATTTTTAAAAGTTTTCGTGATTACAAAATTACACGTATATTTGTTTGAAAATTAGCACATCAAATAAGCTCTAGCTCTAGCTTCATGGAAGCCTGTTAATTGACCAGCTTAAAATTGTTCCCCCATATAGGTATCACTAAGTTAATTTTGACAGGAGGTAAAATGGTAATATCTCAAAACATAGGCAAATGAATATCCATTAACTATTGTAAAACAGTAAAAACATATGATGTAATTCACCTTATCTGTGTTATTTTTGTCTATATATATTGGGATCAAATGACTATAAATTTGATTCTGTAGAGCAACATTAGATTTCAACGGAAAAGCACTGGGTCAAAATGCCATCAAGTACTTCTACTCTGTTGTTAAATAACTATTAATTTGATATTTTAACGCTTCCAGTAGATCAGCATTTCTAGTTGTTCTCTGTCCTGAAGAGAAAATTGCTCTGTTTAAAACTAAACTGCTATTACTTTGATTTTTTTCATGGGATCGTATTGTTTTGATCATCTATTAATTACTAGCAGAGAAAACAGTTTCAAAGAATAAAATCATTTTCAATTTTGTTCTTTTTAAACAAAAATCATGCTTTGTGAGAAATAACAACTCAATTCTATGTGCACTATACAAGTTTCACACAGAGCTGCTGTGAGAGTATAATTTCACTCATCTCATCAGTAATTTACTATATAATAAGGTAATTAGTGTTAAGTTCATATCTATCCCTTGGGGCCTCACACTCCTTATCTCTAAATGATGAAGTAGAACTATGAGTGTTTTTCAAATGTCTTCAGGTGTGACAAAGTTCATTCAAAGGAAGTTTTCCTAGGAGGACCAGATGAAAGAAAAACTGTTCTCAGTACAGACGTAAGGCTCAGGGAGACCAGTAGTCCTTTTACTTCATGGACCAATTTGAAAATTACTGAAGAAGTTACCTCCAAATTCTCTCTTATGTTGCTTATTCCAGATCCCACTAGTGGGCCGTTTTGCCCAGTGTAAAGGATTGCTATTCCAAAACACCTCGAGAAACTTCCAAAAATATGGTTATCTACTCATTTTGGTCGTTTACTTCATTTTCTTTCTAACTTTTCACTTCATATTCTCCACAATAGCTTCAAATGAATGGGGTTAGGTTGGCAAATTAAAATCATAATCTCAGATTTATACTTTATTGCTTATGCCTCCATGATGAATTCTGTCCTACAGTAGAATTATTATGTGAAAAATTATATGTTTAGCTTGTCATAAAATAAGCTGCTATGGAGTACAGTGGATTTGATAAATAAAAGTATATTTTTATCTTTAATACTATTTTGTGAATTGATTTTCTTATGAAGCAAAAAATTAGATGGAATATGTGTTCTTACCCATTACATTTGTTATTTTCCATGCTTTTCATCTTTCCAGTAAAATTTTAAGAAGTCTTTTTTTAGGTCTTTAGTGAACAATTAATTTTTGTGGGTGGTCTGAGAACATAGCCTCAAGCCAGGAAATTTTCCTTAAAATCCTCCTTCTGATTTCCTAGAAATTTTTGCAAGTCCCTTAACAATTTAAATATTGCTTCCTAATACATATTTAGCAATAACAGTATTCAGCCACCTGCCAGAAAGAATATATTTGTGTGATTGGTAAGGATTAGAATAATATAATGTTTTAACTCTCTATGTACACTTATTTTTCACCCTAAGAATCTGTTTCTTGATCACCACCCTACCAGAAATGCACAAGAAAATAAAAACCTAGAAGGAAACATAAATATATTATGACAATGACTAAACCAATTATTACTCAACAATGTTTTCTTTAAAAGAGGCTTCTCTAACCATTGGAAATTTGTAGATAGAGGCTAAAAAATATAGGCTAAAAACTTAATGTCAAGAGAAATGGTAAAAGATTTTGGAGAAAGCAAAATTTAAATAGTAGAGAAGATTTCTTTGTTGTGCTGTTTTGTTGCTGTTTCCTAGTTCTGCAAGAAACAGGATTCATAGTGGCTACTGTTAGGATCTCAATTGTCCATTTATTCAGATCAAAGAATTTAGGCATTGGGAATTTAGCTCAGCGGCACAGCGCCTGCCTGGCAAGCCCAAGGTCATGAGTTCCATTCTTGGTACCGGAAGAAAAACAAACAACAACAACAAAAAAAAACAGATCAAAGAATTTAGTTTGAATTTAAGCAAAAGTCATATTCTCTGGCAGCTGGCAGAACCCAATCCTGTGCTGTACTCCATTAGCCCCCACTGTGCAAGGAGGAGAATTCTAGGTTAGTTAGTTAGTCAGTTAGTTAGTTAGTTAGTTAGTTAGTTAACTCTTCCTCATGCCATAGGTGCTAAGAAGGCAACTTGGCATCCTTGCATAAGATAGTAGGTTAAATAAATACTTAGTCTTTTTTTTGCCAAGAATTCTGTATTATAGTTCTACATTACACAAAAGAAATTAAAATAGTAGTTCTTACTCCATAGTTTTATAATCTGACTATGCTCTTGTGTAATTCAAGCCCTATAATATAATGTAAGTATTAAAATGAATGGATTGCTTATGAAAAACATAGTAAACTAGTACTGTAGAAATTAACAAACTTTCCAATTGCGTATCTTTTTTACTGAAAATTACTGAGGCATTGGGAATAATTTCCATTAATATGAGATGGCCAGAAAACATCAAGAAATGTATTGCACTGGCTTGTGCTTTTAAATTGCGTGGTTGGCTCGATCTCCATAGGTTACCAGTTGACCTCAGCTGAGTGCTACGATCTGCGGAGCAGCAGAGTGGTTGCTGACCAGTACTGTCATTATTACCCAGAGAACGTCAAGCCCAAACCCAAGCTTCAGGAGTGCAACTTGGATCCTTGTCCGGCCAGGTCAGTCCAATTTACTGGTTCCTTTATCATAAACATGAGTAAGTTTCCAAATAAACATCTTAAATTTAAATGAACTTTTAAAATTAAAATAAAACTGCAGGTGTTGCTGTTAGTGCCCATTCCTGATTGTATGTCACTAGCACCTTTGCCTCTCAATGGTGCTCCTATGCGATGCCACTCGGAGTCTACGGACTTTGCTTCTGTAGAGCAGTAGGTAAAGCACTCTTCAGAGTCATGTTCTCTTCCAGTTTCTTTTCACTCTGATTCCTAGTTTGTCTCCTTAGCAAGATACTGTAGGGAAAGGGCAGCTTGATATTCTTATCCAGTTTGATAGCCTTATGTTCTCAGAACTCTTTTCATTTTTTCTCTGTCCCTGATCAGGAGCATGATCAAAGCAGACTATATATCAGGGTTACAACTGATCGATTCCGTCACTGGTCCATACTGATTAATTAGGCTCAGGACTGCCTTAACACTGTTCTATGATTTTTGAGCAAATTCAGCCTTTGTAGGACTTATTTCCAACACCAAGGTTTTTTTTGAAAATCTTTTGAAATAGAAGCTTCAAAAATTTAAACACTTAACACTTTCATGCATCATTGTTTACTTCTGGGAAACCCTAATGGACTTTCAGATTATTTGCAGGTTCAAGAACAAATGTGACAGGGCTGGGGATATAGCTCAGGGGCACAGTGCCTGCCTGGCAAGTGTGAGGTCCTGAGTTTGAGTCCCAGTACCAAAACGAAAGGAAAAAAAAAAAAAAAAGAATAAACCTTACAATGAAAATCTTTTTTTTTTATTTTAAAGACAATGCTAAAAAAGAACAATAGCAAAATACCAACAACATAGGCAAAAACAAAACAAAGCCAAAAAAATAAAAATGATACAGGATTTCAGAACAAAACAAAATGATAGGAATTTACAGTCGCTGTTATACTATGTATTGTTATCTTCAACAAAGTTGCTCAGATTACCAGATATAAGAACGCAAGGTTAGGGGCTGGGGATTTAGCTCAGCGGCAAAAGCACCTGCCTGGCAAGCGCAAGGTCGTGAGTTCGGTTCCCGGTACCGGAGAAAAACAAAAAAAAAAAAAAAAAAAAAAAGAACGCAAGGTTGATCAAACCATTAAAGAGAATAAAGAATTTTTAAAAATTAGAAATGATGCAGAGTTTCACTAGACAAGATGATAGGAATTCACCAATGGTTGTTATGTTGCACATTGTTGTCTTCAAGTTAGTTGTTCAGATTACTAGATATAAGCATGCAAGACTGGTCAAAAAGGAAAAACATAGGCATTAACTGAGGGAAAGGGACAGTGAAAATCTTAGGTAATGAGTACTCATGGAAGCGCAGGTCAAGCATCTTTCCGAGGGAGAGGCATTTAACACTTGCAGCTCTTCCTACTAACTCTCCTCAGCAACAGTTCACTCAGCCACCTGTATTGGTGAGGATATAAGAAACTCTTCCCCCAAAAGTAATTACAAAAACTGAAAGATAAAATATCCTTTCCCAAATTTCTTGGGTTTCTGAGAAACACTTCAATGTTATTTATTAAAATCAGAGTTTAGTAATTATATATATAGATAGAAAGCTCTGAATAATTAAAATACTACAGTGTGGGCAATGAAGATGTGAAGCATCCAATCTTTATGTTGTGACCAGTTGCAATTTATGTTTTTATTTTCTGCATTTAACTTTTAAAGTTCATGTCCTTATACTCTTTCTACCTTATCCTCATGAATTCCAAACTTAAACTTCCTGTCATGTGACAGGAAATTGCTATTATTTACTAGCCTACAGAAAGCATATTACCGGGGCTGGGGATTTAGCTCAGCGGCAAAAGCGCTTGCCTGGCAAGCACAAGGTCGTGAGTTCGGTTCCTGGTACCGGAGAAAAACCAAAAAAACTAAAAAAAAAAAAAAGAAAACATATTACCTACCTCATAAAAGTGCACTCAGGAACAGAACAAATATATCTTGCATAACTGTAAAATTTAAGTGAAGTTTAATTTAGCTTTATATTATACCAGATTGTTATATACTAAAAGTTAGATATGATATAAAAACTAAATTTTAACACTTTGCTTGAATTTCTTTAGTTTGGAAAAAGTAAGCATTTGAAATATTTTAACTATGCAATTTAACACTATTTTAAGATATTCTCTTTTTTACATTTTTTATCCACACCTATAACAGAAAGATTGGGGTATAAAAAATATATTTATCTCAACTCAGACATTCAACTCCCCCTTGACTTTGAAAGTCTTACATGCACATTTCCATGAAAATTTGAATGTGGAAGAATTTGTCTCACACAACTGCAGTAAGTTTTTCCCACTAGGAAAAAAACTTAAGTGAAAAAAGCAGCTATGGAAGAGAGTTGTGAAATAAAAGCATTTTGCTAACAATTGAAGAAAATATTCGTAATCAGAAAAATTCCTTTTGGCCTCTGAATTTTACCCATTCCTCTCTGTGGGAGTAAGATTTTTGGCCTCTCTGTGGGAGTAAGATGTTTTTTATTCTCCAAAAGAAAAGGTTATACTGAAGGGAGATTGCCTGTGCAATTTGTGCTTTTTCTGTGCCATGTGTTACTTTAAAACATCGAATACAGCACATGTGTATGTTGGGACAGGTGGCCATTTAAAAAAAAAGAAAGAAAAGTGAGAAAAGGAAAAATAAAAAGTAAGTTGGAGGCAAATGTAAGGAAGCTGCTCCTTTATTGAAGGAGTAATTAGACAAAGCTGTAAAAATTAAGACTGACAGTAAGTGAGGCTGAAAGGAAAGCTTCTTAGCTGTGCTGCTCTGAGGCTGACACCTCAGGAATGGCGATGAAATGCACTGAGCTCTTCTGTGTGCTTAAGATCAGAGCAACCTTTCTGAGTCCCAAGACAAAATGAGGAAGTGAGCCTGAGAAAAGTAAAGAGACTAGAAAATAGATCTTCTCGTCCATCTGCCGCTGCAGAGTCAAATCCTCAAGGAACTGTTCTCGACCTACACATAGAATTGTCTAATTTTCTACCCCAAATTAGAAACTAACAAAAAGAAGGTGCAGGCTTCCTTAGGGCAAAGTCACATATTTTTGGACTTTAAAAAACTTATTGTATCTAACTATTAAGATATTTATTCACTTTTTTCCTGTTCACAGTGGCATTTGGGGACTGTTTATAGTTCTGAGAAGCAAAATCCCATTCAGACAGCCATACCCTTTTCCTTTCCAGACAGAAAAGTGTCACAAACAACAAAAATAGCGCTAAAAATTAAGGTTGCCAATGTAATTTTAGTGCTGACCTTGGTTTTCTCACCCATAAAGCGAGGGGAGAGAGTTGTTGCTTGCATTAAATTATTGATTTCAAACTGTGCCAAAGGAATCTGCTGTTCCACAAGATTGTTTCCTTCAGTTTCAATTTACATGTTTTAAAGTATTTTTGAACAATAATTCACAAATATATATTTAAACATATTGAACAGTGATTCAAGCTAAGTTGAACTGTAAGAGAAAGTTTCAACAATTGTAAAACTGTGTACCAGCAAAGTAAATACTTTTTGTCCTCACCAAATTCTCCCTTTATTTCTGCTCAGTTGAAAAATTGAGTACCTTAAGATTGCCAGGGAAAATGCTGAAACTATTATCATGAGTACCTACTTCTTGCATTAATAAGAATGTTCTTATTACTACACATTTAATACCAAAAGAAAACAAAATGAACTGGATATGACCCCTGGTAGGCATATTCTCTGATGTCCACCTGTGTGTTTGTCAAAATACCTCACTGTCCTCATTATTTTGCCTTATAATAAGTAAAAGTTGTATATTTGAGCAGATTGTCTAAAATTTGCTTAGTAAATATTCTTACTGGGTTTCTATACTATGGTGCCATATATGATATAAAGCCTTTCAACGACCAGATGTTTCTAGGGCTGCAACCTGCTGCTTGTTCTCGTGTCCATAACCCTCCCAACTTCAAACTTGGTGGTTGTCGGTGTCAGTCATTACTTTAGTTTTAGGAAGTTCACAAACTTCCTGACTATATGGACAACGAACTTCTGGGAGTTGTTTTATTTTTATTTTTTTTTTTTTTGGTTTTTCTCCGGTACTGGGAACCAAATTCACGACCTTGCGCTTGCCAGGCAGGCGCTTTGCCGCTGAGCTAAATCCCCAGCCCTGGGAGTTGTTTTAAATCAGCACTGATCTGAGGTAGCCGCAGATCACAAGGCATGGAGGAATACCTCCCTGCTTACCAGCAGTTCAGTTTCGGCTCTAATTCTCTCTCTTCCTTTTTTGCTTTCTTTGCTTTTCCACGTCATTGTTTATTCATTTTTTTCTTCTCCCTCTTGTTTTCCCTTTCTTACACTCACCAAGTGCAGCCACTGGCTGCCCTGATTATAGATTAGTTCACCCAATAGTCCCTGAGACTAAAGATATTACTGACACCTTTCAAAATCATTTATATATTTTTATAGCTTTTTTCTGATTCTAAATGCTAGCTTAGAACTGTTGGTAAAATTAAAAGACTATAGTGAAAACAATAAAACTCACTAATAATCCTGAATGCCCCCAGATAACATTTCTCATGTGTTTACTATGCTTTTCCTCTCACCTATAGCATACAACATAGCTGGGGTCATACTCTAAGCAGACACCCAGAATTGGGTGACGTAGCTAGCACTCTTTGCTTCCCTCTTCCACAAGCAGCCCAGGACCTCCAGATCAGGGAGTAATTCGTGTTTTTGCTGAGGCAGAGACTGAAGCCGGTTGCCTTTTTAGACCAGAAATTGGACCACGCTGAATGCCCAGCAGTTTCATCCCGGGAAAGCTTTCTTGCTCTGTTGCGTCACCAATGCAGTCATTTGTATGAAGTGATAAAACTCTTAGTTTCCCAGCCAAAAGTCTCAAAAGTGGAGCCAACATTTAAGGCTCAGAAGGGAAGAAAGGAGAAAAGGAAGTATAAAGGTCTAACGGACTTTAGCTGAAATAACTTCTCTCACTGGCAGCTGAGAGC